ACACTTTGCTTGAATTTATTAAATTTTTAATAAAAAAAAGTTAAATAATAATTAATTTTTAATTTTTTAGATTAAGAAGTCGATTGCTGCTGCTGAGACGCCAAATTTGAAAAGCTCAGGTGGACAGGCTGGCGGCGGTGGCGGAGGTGGTGGTGCTAAAGGTCATCCGGCAAAGGCACCTGGTCTTGTTATCGGTTCTCCAAATCCAAAGGGTCGTGAAACCACGTAAATTATAACCAGTTTTTTACTGTCTAGGGTTATAGATTTAACTAGAATATTCTAGTATATATCAGTTAGTAATTTTTTTTTTTTTTTTTACGTGACAAGATTTGATAATATAATTCTCTTGTTTTACCAAGTTTTTTACATGTCTAATAGCAAAGTTTTACCAAGTGTTTCCCAAGACGATGATTTGAGAAAACATACCGAACACAATCACTAAATTCACGAATATGCAACTTACAAATTTGATCTCTCAAATTGCTACAAGTGCTTCTCATGTCTACATATGATAAGGAACACCTATATGTATATGCAAAATACCAGCAATCCTAACAAAATACAATATAAAACTCTAGGGGGTAGGGTTTCGTTAATTATGGACAATTTCATATAAAAGTAGCTTCTTTTTAAAGGAAATTGAGTAATCTAATCATTATAAATCAGGTTTTCAAAAAAAAAAATCTCCAAATATTTTGAGGTAGTTTATGATTTAATCTAAACTTTTATATTCTGAACATAAAATTTTCTCCAGTATTTTATATTTTGTCTAAATTAACAAAACCGTCTTTATTTTTTACAACAAAAGGACATTATCATATAAAATTATGACTTTTCTTTTCAATTGTCACCTCAACTTAGATCTAACATATGAAAGCCTTGCAATTTAGACCGTAGACTCCATCACTAACTCCATTTTCCCTTGTAGTGCATTTCCTCTTTTTAGTAGTATATATGAGATACAACTATGTAATCATAGTTATAATATTAAGATGTAGTATATATGTAAGTTGTTATTTAAATATGGATATATTATTAAATATAAATGTAAATTAACTATTTATATAACTTTTTTTTATCAATTAATTAACAATTTAGTATGTTAATATGATGGTTAAATGAATACTTTAGAATTCTAAATGATTTAAAGTATTTATAAACGTAGTTATTAAGGTGGGGACCACTTTTGAAAGCATGTCGCACTGATATTAGATGGTTTAAAAGAAACACAAGATAAGAATTGAACCAAAGCTTCCAAACTTGAAATGACTTCCTTCAACAAATGAGTGATAGCATCTCAAAATCCCAACACGACTAAACACAAAAACCACTAAACGTTTTAGTATTTTCAAAACATCATGGATCATCTGAAGGTGGTCGAACGATGAGTCTATAATATACAACATAAACAACAATCGACATAAATGAGATCGATAATATATTCAACATAAACAACAATTGACAGAAAACCCGATGGATTATAGATGCTATAGATCTAAACTATATTCCAACCATTAGCATTTTGCAATTCATAATAGAATGTTGTATTTATTAATCGGTAGTTTGTTATTTGATCATGTATTTTCATTATAATACTTAACATCTTGTAAAAAAGTATTTTTTATTTTAATCTGCAATTTATTAGTTTTAAGTTAGTTTTGCTATGTCATGTACATTAAAATCAAAATATAGTCCACTATTGATGAATTTCTTAAAAATACATGCAACTTCTTCTCAAGATCCTAAGATCCACGAGGGATACGTTTGGATGAAAGTACCCATACTTCCAGTGTTCCTATTACTAAGAATCAGTCTGAGTAACCCCATCTTGAAATGAATGAAATTGATCTTAGGACATTAATTAGAAAGTAATCATGATTTGCGTGACTAGATTTAGGATTATGCAGCTAATCAACAAGATATCATTCAATGATCTTATATGAATATTGGCCCCATCCACCAAAACTTATGGTATATCCGAACTCTGACCATAAACTCATAAGCATAACTTTTAAGTTTCTTTTGGTGATCTTTTTAACAGTTTTAGTCATCAATCATCGTAATTCAGTCACCAAATATCATAAATTTGATTTATCGGTGACTTTTTTTTTGAAAATTTTGACTGTCTGACTTTTTTATCGATTTTGACTGTATAAACCGCCTAAGACCGCCTACAACTACTCAGGACCGATTCTACCTAGCATCAATCATAGACAACAAGAGACCACTTAAGTCGATTTTTACAACACTAACCACAACATGCTAAAATTACTATTGAAAAATTGGTGTTAACCATTTATAAAAATGGGGTTTCCCCATTGTTAACACGTCCGAAACGGATTTACGATAAATGAAAAATTAATCCATAAAAGAAGGATGTCAGAAAAAGTATATATATATATATATATATATATATATATATATATATATATATATATATATATATATATATATATATATTTGTGGGAGAAGGAAAAGAAAATTTCAACATTGCAAATATTTCTTTCTTTCGTAACTGAAATTGTACTTCATATTTATGTTTAATTACATATTAAACCCACATTAATCTTGTGATTAATATAGATGTTTAAATGAGAGGTTATAGAATGTGTAGTATAAATACCACTACTCTACAACTATTTAAAGACCCCATAAAAAATTAATAATACAACTAACTCTCTTCTTCCCCACTTCATCTCCTTTTTTTTAGCTACATTGAAGATATAATCCAAATCTACTGAGAGTTCGGATGATCTAGAAGAACTACTTCAAATTGTTGTATCCTGAGAAACAAACATCCTGTAGCGGACAAATTTGTTTTAAAGACAATGTGTTAAACACATGTCTCAATTTTTTTGTTTTCTTGTTTGCTTTCGTACATATCCGTAATATTATTCCTACAATTACCATATAGACGTTGTCCCGCTTGTGAGGTTTTACTTAAACTTATCGAGGAAAACGCTAGTTTAACTAAAGGTGATGTAGATTCAACGTATGTGACTATTACTACTAGGGATGATTGGAAGTACCGAGATAATCAGAACCAGACTATAATTCACTTGTATGAAGTCAAAATCATTTGATTTTTTCCATCATGTAATTTTGTGTTTGTAGTTCAAATTAAACTATAAAAACATATTTTCGTTGCAAATCACGAAACCGGTTCCATTATGAAAGAAAGAACCGAAATACAAGCACCAGGGTCGGACCGCCGACACTGATGGTTTGATTTAGTAAAATGGCTTTGGTTCTTAAGGAGCATAACTAGCATACCACTTGAACATTATTATCGAGTGGATATTGTTAGAGAGTAATTAATTGTCAATTAATGGAATTAAGTCATTGGTTCAATGATAGCTTAATGGAATTGCTTCATCTTTCAACAACTTTAGATCCTAAAAATACCAATGAGTCTTTTTGAAGTGGTGATGCATATCAGTTAGTAGATTAAATTTATCCTAGAGATTTCAGTAAACATAAGAAAATACTTTGGACGATGCAACTTTAATACTAAAAGACTGATATTATTCAATATGAAAATTATAAACAGTTTGAAATCTATTTCACAGATGATGCCAATGTTTAATAAAAACTAAAAGAGCAGGTATTTTTTTTTTCTTATTTATTTTGTAACTTTTCTCATATTTTTTCTTTGGATTTCTACTGCTAATACTGAAAAATTATTTCATCAATGATTCTCTTTAAAACAAGGTTTCATAATAAAACGGAAGTCGGGTTTTGATTGACTTGTACTCCTAAGAGGAATTTGACAAAATACTAATTTAGAAACAATTTTGGAAGATTAAAAGAATGGCAAGTCCCATTTTGACAAACACTATAATAATATTTCATCTTAAATTTCTTGTTTACACTATTATATGTCATAACTTTGAGCCAAATTTTTCTAGCTTATACGATTTTGTTTCGAAGTTTCGGGTTCGCTCCTAAGTCTAGTGCTCGTGAATAGCTAATGAAATATTTATAAAACTTAGTTACTGGTTAGTGATCTTATCCTTTTTATGAATTAACGTTTCACGGCATTGATTGAAACTTGGTTATTATTGTAATAAAAATGTTTCAAAAGACCTGTTATACCATATGCTTAAATCATTGCTATGTCAACTAGAAAATACAAAATTTTCATAACAATACATGATTTCACAATGAGGAAATTGGAATGAAAGTTACACCTTTAAATCTTTTGAAAAAAAAAGTTCGAAATACCTAGATTATAAACCGGTGAAAACCCAAATTTATGCACCTTTAGTGTGTTTGTGTTAGAATTGTAGATAAGTAGATATGTCTTCTCAAATTCCAAATAAAATTGGTAAATTATACTTTTAAGGCCAAACATATGATAATTCCTATTACCAAGTTAACACACATTGCGACCTAACATTTTAATTATCGTTTGGTGTTTGATGTGATATAACGTCTTCCCAAACTTATAAAATATCGAAACAGTTACGAGTGATGTTATACATTTGACTTCAAAACCAAAATGTACTTTTAACTGATTTGCAAACAATCATTTAGTAATCAAAACTCATTTGTTTCAATCGTCAAAGATTTACTACTTTAACCTGAATTTGATTAAAATGATAGCTATTAATTTCGAGTGACTTAATTGATAAAAGAGTTACAAGGTTATTATTTTTTGTGTTAAAAACATTCTAGCTTCTAGCACTATTTGACACAATCAATGTTTTGACTTTTTATATTTTGTTTTGCAGTTGACCAACACCACCAAGAACTTAAAGAAGTCATTTAGACATTCGATTATAAAGCAGTTAAACCAACTTCTGGGCTTAATTAATATTGTCTCTTTTTATCTTCTTTTTTTCTTCTTAGAACTGACACTTAACTACCCCCTGAAAACAACCATTTCAACTTCCACACCTGTACTTTTCCATCACACCAACTCCAACAACCAAAACTCCTTCCTAATCAACCAAAACTCATCTTTAAAACCACCAAAAACCCTAAAACACATAATCATGATGGCTAGAGTTCATTTGTCTAGAGCAATGGCTGAAACCTTCTCATGGTATTGTTCGTTGTTCTTGGTGTCAATGTTGGTTTTGAGTTGCTGTGAGTCGTTTGCTAATGAGAATGAAAGAATGGTGAATCGAGTTCAAAGAAGTGACGTGGGTTATGGTCCTTGTGATGAGATATATGTGGTTCGTGAAGGAGAGACGTTGCATATGATTGGTGAAAAATGTGGGGATCCTTATATTGTTGAAGAAAACCCGCATATTCATGATCCAGATGACGTGTTTCCAGGACTTGTTATCAAGATTACGCCATTCAAAAATAGATAAAAATCGAGATGGGGGTTTTCTTGGTTTAATACATCTTTGGTTTATGTAAAGAAAAGAATGAAGTGTAATTTTCAATGAATGTAGTCGAAAATTTCTTGTTCAAGATTTCATGGCCATGATTTTTTTTTTTTTTTAATTTTTTTTTGTTTTTATTTTTTATTTTTTATGTCGAGTCTTAAAAGATCAATGGCCTAAATCCGGCCCAATGCCTTACAACCCAACTACCCAAGTAGTCAAGGATCCTACATAGAAATTCATTTTCTTTTGTCCCATATATAAATGTAGAGGTGCACAAATACCGGTTCTTAACCGGTTAGGTTTTAAGAATTCTCAAAAAATGAAATTTTGTTAAAAAAAATCAGTTTTGTTCGTTTTTTTAAAATTGAAGAAAACTGATTTTCGATTTAAAAGAAAATGATTCTAAACTGCCAGTTTGATTTTATTTGGTCCGGTTCTCAAAAAAATGATCGCTTTAGAAAAAAAACCGGTCCTGTTCTATTCCATTGGTTCTGAAAAACAGTTGCTGTAAAAAAACTGATCCGGTTCTATTCCAACCGTTCTCAAAAAACCAGTTCATTTTGTGCACCTCTATATAAATTTAGGATATAATATAATAAGTTTCACTATCATTGTTATCATAAAACTCGTGCATATCATTGCTCAAGAATCATAGAAAAATGGTTAAAAGGGAAGATTTTCTTAGAAGGGATAATGACTTAGAAGGGTAATATATTTTTCGATTTGTACATATTTGATCACTGAGTTTTTTTTCGTCCACATTTCTTCCTTCAACTTGTTTAACTATACACATTTAGTACTTATGAACGGCTACTCTAGATAAGCCCAAAAAAATGATTTAAAAGGGTAATATATTTCTCACTTTATACGTATTTAGTCCTTATTATTATTATTTTTTTGCACATTTAGTCTTTAATATTTTTTTTGTTGCAAAATAAAACCTTGTTGTTTTTGTACACTTTCAATACTTATGACCGGTTTTTTAGGATTTTCTCATGTCATCCTACACTACATAATCATTAATAAGGTGTTCGGACTATTCATAGTTATGGTCATCGTGGCCTTAGCTGTTTGGTTGCTTAGTTTTTGTGGTTTGGCTTAGGTTTGTGTTCTGAACGTCGTAACTTCTTCATACGATTACAAATTTTAATGATATTTATATCTACATGTTCGTATTTGAGTCTACTTCAATTTTATATTATGATTTTATAAAAAAACGTTTGTACATACATTCATTAATAAGGCATGAATATAAAGATCATAAGTAAAAATATATATTGCTTTTTAACGAGAGTAATCTAAACGAAAATTGTAGTAGACTCAAATACGAATGCATGGATATATAGATCAATAAAATATGTGATCGTATGAAGAAGTTACGCCGTTCAGAACACAATACCTAAGCCAAATTATAAGAACTAAACAACCAAGCAGTTGAGGCCGTGATAACCATAACCATGAATAGTCTTGATGTAACAGTCGGGATTTAGGTTCTTACATTTCTTACCCTTAGTATGAAAATTGTTGCAAATTGGTCCTTTCGTACGCTGGGTGTACTTGAGGAGTACGCTTAGCATACTAAGGATGGATGAATGCGGAGGGTTGTCACGTACGCTGGGCGTACCAAGGGGTACGCAGGGCGTACGTGACTGAAGATCAAAACCATAATATTCGGATTGGATACCTATTTATTCATCCTTAAGTCATTTTGACCAAACCCTAATCAACCTTCATAGCCTCATTTCATCCCTTAACCTCAAATTTCCTTGTGAGTGTGATTCTTGAGCTTAGAAAGTGTGTTGGTGGCCATTTTAGAGAGTATTTAAGAAGGAGAAGGTGGTGAACAAGCTTTGGATGCCATTAAGCTGCTAGATCTTGTATATATTTCATTTTGATGAGATTTTGGAGGTATAAAGTCATAACCTTGTCATCTATTTTATTAGTTTGAGCAAGGGTTTTGTTATGGAGTCCTTTTTTGGCTCTTGGACCTTCTCTTGTGAGTTGAGTAACTCCAGAGACTAGGGTAGCTAGATCTAAGCTCCTTGAGCATGTTGGATGCACAAAGGTGCCATCTTGAAGGTTTTTTGACTCTATGCATAAGTTTGAGGTCTTAAATGAGGTCTTACTGGGAAGAATGGAGTATTTGGGTCACTCATGAAATGCAAGGGCATAAAGTTTCCAACTTTATGCCCTAGGACATCTTAATGGACTCAAATCAGAAGTTTGAGGTTGAAATCCCAAGTATTAAGCACTTAATGGTCGAATGTGCATATCCTACTTGTACACCGTGCATAAATTCGTTTTGGACCATAGTTGTTTTGGTTTTGCATTATTGGGCCAAACGACCCATTAATGGTCTTTATCATGGGCCTTAGGCCCATTAGCAAAGGGGAGACTTTTGAGCTATTATTGAAGGAAATAGACTTAGTGTTTAGACTCTTTGCTCGAGTTGTGTATAATCCTAATTTAAGGTTAATTATATTATTGTTCAACGTGTGGTTTCAGACTGCTAGGCGAGCAACTTTTGTGTTCACCAGATTGAGGTGAGTCTTCTCACCACACTCATGGGTCGAAGGCACCAAGGTTGGCCCATTAATTAATATGTATGAGATGATTAGTAATGGAGTATGTGATTGTTGTTATTTGATCTATATATGGTTTTATGTGAAGATCATGGAAGGAGCCCATGGCACACGCTAAGACCATGGGAGGAGCCCATGGCTCGGGGATATAAGAACACAAGGGTAGCCTATGGCATTCTAAGGAAGACTATGGAGGGAGTCAATTGCAAACTTATATGTATATATGTGCACATGGTATTATGTGATTATATGATTGATGTGTTTGGGAAACTAGCTAAGCTTGTGCTTAAAGTTCTATTCAATGTTTCAGGTACATCTAGAGATAAGGGCAAGGGCCCGACTTGATGGCGCGGCATGCATTCTCCTGTGTTTTCACATTTAGTTTTCGATTATGAATTTTAAAACACTATGGCTATGTAATGAGATTTTTAGACACATTGTGGATGATATTTATGAAATTAAAAGTTAAAATTTTATGTAAAAATTTAGGCTGTTACACTCGAACACCTTATTAATGATTGTGCCGTGTAGGATGACATGAGAAAGCCCTAAAAAAACCGGTAATAAGTATTAAATGTGTACAAAAGCAATAATGACTTATTTTGCAATAAAAAATATTAAGGACTAAATGTGCAAAAATATTATTAAGGACTAAATGTGTACAAAGTGAGAAATATATTACGTTTTAAGTCATTTTTTCGGCTTACGTGAAGTAGCTGGTCTTAAGGACTAAATGTATACGGTTAAACAATTTGAAGGAGTAAACGTGAACGAAAAAAAAACTTAATGACCAAATGTGTAAAAATCAAAAAATATATTACCATTTTAAGTCATTATCCATTCTTAGAAATTTAAACCACATTAAACCAATGTTTTAAAAAACGGTTTGAACCGGCCGGTCGAACCGGTTAGGCCAGGAACTGGTGGAGGGAGCGGTTCAACTATCACCGTTTTTACATTGATTTCTGAACCGGATTGAACCAGTCGGTTTTTAGAAAAACCCGGTTGAACCGAATAAAAATACATGAAAAAGAACCATTTACATAATAAACTTTGATTATTTTTTTTTCAAATCTATTTAGTTTTCTCTAACTAACTACATATAGTAAATGTTATAAATTTTTTTGATGTGGTTGTATTCATTTAAAATTATATTTGGTTTCGATATTATATTTTATTTTCTTTTTGATATATATGGATTGATGTAAAACATTAAAAACTTATGCTTATGTGTTATTTTAATGTATTTTGAATTTATTTACAAGCTATTTTTATGTGTATTTTTAATGTTTGAACTTATAAACATCAAATTCATAATTTATATATGTATGTATGTGTAGGAAAAAATAGAAAAAAAACATGAAAAATATAGAAACCGTTTTTTTTTTTTTTTTTTTTTTTTTTTTTTTGTTTTTCACTCGGCGGTTGAACCGGTCACCATACCGGTTCAACTAAAAAACCGGTTTTTAAAACATTGCATTAAACTTTCTTGAAAACAAAAAAATGTTAGAAATTAAAGCTTAGATTCAAAAAAACCACAAGAACCATTCAAAAAGTTTTGTCTACATTAATTGAAGTAAATTCATACTATTAATCTCACTTGTGTTTTATTAACTATTAAAATTATCTTTATATAATGTTTTTGGGGATGTTTTGAACCTAAAACACACAACCCATATTATATACTTTATAATCTAAGGGGCAAAATGACAAATGATGAAAAGCAGCCGAAATTTTTTCTCAAATGGTCCAAGCAAAACCGGATCCAGGCCCAAGTTAAATAGCCGGGCCGGGTGCCATCTTGACACCCTTACCTCCGGATGTATTGGTGACGGAAATGAGTTAACGGGTCGATCTAATCCTCTTTGATTTGTTATTTAGTTTGCCCCGATTAATTGTTGTTTGAGGATTTTTAATGATTTTCTGTTTGTTATTTGTAGAATTGGGCTGGGCTAACGGATCGATTATATTCGTTTTGATTTAGTCATGAGACCTTTAAGCTTAAGGGATAGAATCATGGAAGTATCATCTTGGACTTCTTATATCTGAACAAGCATTTTGATACCAATAAATTGGTTAAATTATCATTAGATCACTATTAAAATATTAAATTGAAAAGGATTTGCTTAATTCAAAGTTACCAGAATAATGCAATATGATGTTCCTATGAATTAGTAGAACACAGTCTTTTAAAATTATAAAACTACCATATTTGTACATTGTAGTTTTGTCTATGATAAGATTTCAATCTATAATTAATTAATTATTTTTAGTATTCTATTTGAAATGTATCATGGTTAGTATAAACAACGCATACTCATGGATTATTTGTATTTTCCTTTCTTTTCTATAAATTTTCAATTTTCAATTTATGATGTTTAACATTTCATACAAAATTAA